AAGAAATTGACAATACACTAAAAGGACAAACAAGTAAAATAGAAGAGATGGAAGGCAGAACTAGTGAGCTGGAAGACAAAATTCTCAATACCACTAAAATAGAAGAACAAACAGAAAAAAAAGGATTAAAAAAATCTGAAAAGGTCTAAGACTCATGTTGGACAACATGAAGAGGAATAACTTAAGAATTATCGGCATTCCTGAGCAGGAAGCATCACACAAGTCCACAGAGGAAATAGTTGAGGAATTCCTGGAAGAAAATTTCTCTTAGTATCCTGAAACACGAAAAGATAAACGTTCAAGAAGCTCAATGAACCCCAGGAAGGATAGACACCCCCAAAAGAAAATCACCGAGTCATATCATAATCAAGCTCTCCAAAATCAAAGCTAAGGAGACAATCCTGTAAGCAGCTAGGGAAAACAGAAGTGTTACATACAAAGGCAAGCAAGTCAAATTAAGCTCGGATCTCTCAGCAGAAACCACACAAGCAAGAAGGCAATGGAGAGGCATATATAAAACCCTGAAAGAAAAAAATCTGTCAACCAAAAATCCTTTATCCAGCAAAGCTATCAATCAAATATAACAGTGTAATCAAAACATTCCAGGATTAACAGAAGCTACTAAGGGATTTTTCCAAAGCCAACCCTGCGCTACAAAACATCCTAAAGGGAATTCTGTGGATTGAGAACCAACAAGAACAGACAAAAACCAGAGATTGACAAATGTGGCAGCACCTCCCAGAATTATATCAACAGAAGGAACAATCGAGAACCAGACAAAACTATAAGAACAAGCTCAGAGAATCTGGGAGGTCAGTCTATGATCAAAACAACTACAATGTAAAAGAAGATAAACACATAGAAACAGAGATCCAGATGGTGAGAAGGTCAGGTACATTATAGAAAATAGACTGCACTAAAAGAGGGAAAAGTTAATGGAATATAAGGTAACCTCAAAGAAAATTAACATTTCACAACTTGCCCAGAAAATGAAAATCCAAGAAGAACATGGAAACATTAAATCTGTGAGGAAACTAGCAAGTAAGAACACAAAAAGCATGAACTCAGCAAAAGACGACACACAGAACAAAGAAAGCAGCAATACCACAAAAAAACAAATATAATGGCGCAGCAATTAAGCCACACCTATCGATAATTACACTGAACGTAAACGGATTAAATGTACCAGGGTGGCAGAATGGATAAGAAAACAAAATCCTTCAATATGCTGTCTACAAGAGACACATCTTACACACAGAGAAAAAAACAGATTAAAAGTCAAAGGATGGAAAAAAAATATAACAAGCTAATTGCAATCAAAACCAAACAGGAGTGGAAGTACTAATCTCTGATAAAATAAACTTTAAGGCAAAAACCAGCATAATAGCTAAAGATAGACATTATTTCATGATTAAAGGGACAATTGAACAAGATGGCATAACCATAATAAATATCTATGCTCCCAATGAAAGGGCTCCAAAATATATAAAGCAAACTCTTAATCAATTTGAAGAAAGAAACAGACGAACCTACAATAATTGTGGGCAATTTTAATACTCGGCTTTCAAAAATGGATAGAACAAACAGAAAGAAACTTGACAAAGACAAAGAAGAACTAAACAACACAATCAGCCAACTGGATCTCATAGACGTGTACAGCGCATTCAACCCAACATTCATTCTTTTCCAGTGCACATGGAACACTCTCCAGAATAGACCATGTGTTAGGCCACAAAACAAACCTCTATAAATTTACAAATATCAAAATACTACCAAGCATCTTCTCAGACCACAATGCTATCAAATGAGAAACCAACAATAGGAAGACCAAGGAAGTCAAGTCAAATACATGGAAACTGAATAACACCCTGCGGAAAAGCGACTGGGTAGTAGAAGAAATTAAACGTGAACTCACAAAATTAATGAAAACAAATGAGAACGAAAACACAACATACCAAAATCTTTGGGATATGAAAGTGGTGCTGTGAAGACAATTTATTGCAATAAATGCACACATCTGAAGAGAAGAAAGAACCAAAATTAACACATTAACATAGCATCTACAACAATTAGAAACAGACCAACAGAGGGAACCGACAGCCACCAAAATAAAAGAAATAATAAAGGTTAGAACAGAAATAAAAGAGAGAAAATAGAAAAACTATAGAAAGAATCAACAGGACAAGAAGAAAGGATTAACAAAATTGACATACCATTGGCAAACCTAACAAAAGAAAAGAGGGAGAAGACACAAATAACAGGCATTAGAAACCACATGGGCGATGTCAAAACGGAACCACAGGAAATCAAAAGGAGAATAACTGAATACTATGAAAAGTTGTACTCCAACAAATTAGAAAACTTAGAAGAGATGGATACATTTTTAGAAAAACAAGACCTATCTAAACTTACACACAGTGAAGTAGAAAACTCGAAAAGAACCATAAAGACTCATATAACAGACTCCAAGGTTTGCCATAAAATAAGTTAGAGTTCACATACAATGTAGGAAAAAATGTAACTAAAAGATGTATTAAAATTAAAATGAAAACTCAGTTCAAACATTATTGAACATGAACTATGCTAAAAATTCTGCCCAGAGTCAAAATAATAATAAAAATAAAGACATTCTAGAAAGAAAGAATGGGGGGGAAAAAAAAAAATGGGGGGGGGGGGGGGGGGGGGGGGGGGGGAATGTAGAACTAAACTGAAATGACTAAAAAAGGCCAGACCTACTGAACTGATTAAAGAGACTAGAGGAACATCGAGATTATGCCCCAAAGATACCCTCTGAATTTGGAATTGAAGCTGTTACTATAGGGTCATCTTTCAGTCAAATAATAGACTGGCTTATAAAATAAACAATACCATCTGTGAGTAATGTGCTCCCTTAACCAATTAACTATCAAAAGGTCAACCATTACCCCAAAGCAGAAATGAGATGGCAAGGAGGGGAAGGGAAGCTAGATCAATGGAAACAGAGCAAACAGAATGGAAATAATGAGAATGCTGACACATTGCAAAAATTCTAACCAATGGCATGATACAATCTATAAAATAAATTGTTAAAATGGAACCTAATTTTCTGTGTAAATGTTCACCTAAAACACACTAAAATATTATTTAAAAATATATTTAAAAAACCTCAGTTCCAAACTTCAAGGTGTTCTAAGAGGCAATTAAGGATGAAGAAGCTAAAAGAATACCATAAAGGCTATCATTTAAGGACTGACTCTGTACCAGCAATGCATATACCATCATAAAAAGGGCTAAATCTGTCCCAAGTTACAAAACTAGGTTTTTAAGGGATTGTTGTTGTTTGTTTTTTTTTTTAAGTTTTTATTGTGAATTGAGTGATAGTTTACAATGGAGAACATCAGTTATACACTCATTATTTCATTGCAATGATTACAATCTCCTCTGCATCCTTCAACAGTACTTGCTTCTATTCCCTATGTTTTTTGTCTTTTTTTTGCTTGGGGGTGGGGATAGACACACAAAACAGTCAGGAATATATAATCATTCAAACAACCAAAGGGCACATTCTGCAAGCCAGCCTCCTGGCTGCCAGCACACAGCCTTTCTCTTTTCATTCATCTAGAGTCCTCAGCTGCTCGTTCTCTCTATGTCCTCATTTCCATCTCTAGTGTCACTGCTTCTGTGCATAGGGTCCCGCATTCTGTTCATGCTCTTGTCCCTTAATGGTCCTAGGGTCCTCTGTTCCTGGACAGTAAGATTAACTACTTCCCCCTTTTAGTTACAAAACTTCTATACAGTTGTGAAAGCAGTCATGATATCAATTACTCACTATTGAATCCTAAGAATCAAAGCTGGGTTTTAACTCTAGGGCTCTGTCTCTCCTAAGGCTCAGTGCCTGACACTACACGATGCTGTCTCTTAATAATAAAAGATAACAACAAGACCATAGGGGAAAAGTCCTATCAGAAATAAAAATACAGAAAACAGCAAAAACATCCAACGTAAGATTCATCTGATGTGCACATAAAAGCCAAGGGTTATAACTACCAGTTAAATGGCTGGTTATTTGTTCAAGTATTTAATTTTAAATTAATACAGACTATTAATAAAAACAAAATGGAAAGAGTAAAGTTTGTATAGACTACTGTAATTTATAAATGCATTATGGGAGGGTATAAGGGTTAGCATCAAATTCTCAGTGTCCCCACCGTCAACATATCTAAATCAGAGAGGTTGGTAAACCCATATCTGGCCTGCCATCTGTTTTTGTAAATAGTTTTAATGAACACAGTTTTACTGGAATCTGCCCATTATTCAATACGCTCATTTGTTTGTGTACCGTTATAGCTGCTCCCTTGCCACAAAAGCAGAGTGAAGGAGTTACAACCATTTTAAACTATAAAAACTTTAAATATTTTTATAAAGCTCTTTTAAGTTTGCTGACCTCTGGTCTAAATGACAACCACATATGATAGCAAAAATTAGCCTATTTAAGTTATATAATAAAGTCTACGTGATTTGAAGTCCCTTCTTTTGTAATCAGTATCGCTTAGTAAATGCTAATGACCTTTCGAATGTCCACAAATATGTACCAGTTATTTTCCATAGATAGATCTTACTTAAGCTGCCCAATTATTCATCCTGCACCATATTACTAAAAACAGAATCCTAATTAAAGAATGATTACAGTACCCCCACAATACTTACCCAATTTTGTGCCATCTACAATGACACAGCCAAGCAAAAATGGAATAGAAAGATAATAACTGAGTTCACTAATTTCTAGTATCCTGTTTACATTAGAACACTCCACTCTAAGTGCCATTTAGAACAACCTGTATCAGTATCACTTAACTCTCTATTAGAAATGTAACTTTGTGGGCCCCATTCTACACCTACTGATTGAGAATCTCTGGGGTAGAGCCCAAGAATCTGTACTTTTTCACAAGCACTCCAGGTGATCATTATGCACACTACAAGTCTGAGAATCACGGCACTGAAACAGAATTTATGTTACTTACTTTGAGTGTGAAAAGACTGATTCGGCCAGGCAATTTATAAAATAGCCCCTCTCCTCCTCTTGAATTGGAATGTAGCATGGCATTGAGGCAAGCAAGAGGAGATGTCCCACTGTAAAAACACGAAAGCATGGATGAGAGTCATACAAATCCTTATGTCATGTACTCATAGTCCTAAAACTCTCCTTCATTCTTAAAGCAAGAAAAAAGAGAATACAAAAAAAGATTCATGACAACGATTCTGCTAAGACAGCAGTAAAATAGTAAATCAATAAAATTCACATAAATCACACTCAAAGGACTCATCTGAGATAAGTTCTGTTACAAGGCACCCCACTCCATATCTAACACTTCTTCAGTCATCTTTGACAATCTGAACCGTAATCAAAAATATTTAGAAAAACTTAAAAATACCAATGATTTTTCAAATGTACTAAGTTTTTTAAAAAACTCACCAATATTTTAAATATTGAATTTCAGTAAATTTTTTAATTAAAATTTTAACATCAGTTAAAAACAAAACTGAGTTTCCTAGCATCTACACTTTATCTGCATTGCATGCTCAAAAATTGCCATGTAACTTTATTAGCACAAAGACCACAGAATCAATGATGCTGTCCCAATAAAGCAAGCATATTCCTTCAAAAACAAAGAGTATTTCACTTTCTTTTTGGAGAGGGAAGTCAGCAATCATTTAAATTTGAATGTATAAAGAAAATTAAGTCTGATGTATTATGTGAACCGCAAGGTCAGCAGTTTGAAACTATCAGCTGCTCCGCGGGAGAAAGATGAGGCTTTCTGCTCCCTTACAGCCTCGGAAACCCTGTTTAAGGTCGCTATGGGTCGGAACCGACTCGACGGCACTTAACAACAACAACCAACACCCTACACAGAGTCTCTACAAGTTGGAACTGACTCCATAGAACCTAACAATAACAATGCTTCAACATTAAATAAAAAACAATGGCTTATTAGGTTGTCTGGCAGCTTCTGCCCCAACTATAGCTTACAGAACAATGACAACCCAGTAAGATAGAGGCTACTTACTAAACCTTTTGTTTGTTAACAATCTTTAAAAAGCTGCTAAAAATAGACAAATGCCCATTATTAATAGGACCTGTCTGACACGTGCATGTTAGTGCCAGGGATCACCTGTGCACCTTTACATCCCTCTCCCCAGCAAGTTAAATCAATAAAAGATCTTAAAAGTAAAGTCTCCCGGCAATCCTTTTTTAGAACCAGTGCTTAAAAATAAATTCTAATTCTAAAAAAGCCATAAATAAATAAATACGCCTATCACATATTCTGCTTTGGAACGTACTGGATGCTAAAAAAGAAATGCTCAAAAACCAATCTCTCTAAAAGAAGCCTCGTGCAGAATCTGGAGTATCAAGTGGGTGTGCTAACATCTCTGCTACAAGGGAAACTACATGCTGGCAGAGTCTTCCTGTGAACAATGTGACTCCTACACACTATACCTCTGTCTACAAATTACAGAGCTGCTCACTCATGAGCCACCATGACTGTTTCAAAATTCCTATAAGAGCAAACAGCACAAACAAGCTAAGATTCCCCATTCCATCTGTTACAAAGGGACTAACTCACCTTCTATCAGCACAGTGGTCCAATAGCAGTGCAGACAGCAGCATGATGGGAAATAACCCACAAAAAGAAAAATAAAGCACAGTTATAACAATACACAGTGAAAAAAGCTACTACTCAAAAACAGACACCATCTAGACATTCTTGATCTCCCCTCCCCACAACATGCCAACTTGAGAATGTTTGAACTGACAACTGGAAGGTAGACCTTTTGACCCTAAAAGGTCAATTAAAGCTGCTAAAACTTGAGCAGCAAACCATACGGTGTTTCTTCTGGAACTGTGTTATGCTTTCCTTCTACCTCATTTGAATTAAATTAAAAAAAAAAAAGTTAAAGGGATCTAAGGAGAAATGAAGTCTTGATGCATACTACAGTTATGGATGGAGCTTGAAGACATTATGCTGAACAAAATAAGGCAGTGCATGATCTCACTGATCTCACTTGTAGAAAGAGACATAAGAAAAGGCAAATCTATACAGACCAAAGTTTATTAAAGGTTGCCAGGGTCAGATGGGAGGGAGGGAAACAGAACATTAAGGATGATAGAAAAACCACATTTGCATAGCCAATTATTTTAACTGCTGTAAATAAATTGTATATCTGTAAAAAGTTCAATTGGCAAAAATTGTGTGATATTTTTACAGCACAACTTTTAACTGTGACAACAAAGGTGGGGGGAAGTAGCTGCTGAAAACACGTATGTACAAACGGGATTTGGTTTCTTGGTTTGGAAATTTAGGTTCAAGATTTCAAGGGTTATTCCAGTTAATTGGCCTGATACCACATGTAGTGCTTTCAGTTTATCCTCCCAGTGTGATGCACAGTTTCTAGGGTCTTAAAAGCTTGCAATCAGCTACCCAAGACATAACAATTGGTTTCTATTCACCAGGAGCAACAGAGAAAGGAGCAGAGTCAGGAAAATGCAGAATGTGTGGCTAATTCTCTCCATAAACTGTCTCCTTTGCCATGGGACCAAAAGCACAGGACGGTGCTTGGCTACCATTACTGAACATTTTGATCAAAAATTATAAAGAAGAATCCTGATCAAAGGTGGGGGGGGGGTTTTACAGAATTTCACATTCTCATGGATTCCAGGCTTTCTGGAGCTATGGAGGGTAGATGCATCCCTGAAACTACAGTCCTGACATCATTTTTAAACCTTAAATCAAAAGTATTCCTTTCGCTAAAGTCTCAAAACCAAACAATAGTAAAAATGGTCAGCCTTGAGCATCATGTTCTTTTAAGATCTATATATGGGGTCAAAATGACAACAACAACTCAAAAGATTAGATAGGAACCTTAGGAGGCAGAGAGTTTACATTACTGATGGAGGAACAATACAGGAAATGAGGAAATGGTTACACAACCAGGAAAATGCCATGGATTTCACTAAATTGTACATGCAGAAACTACTGAATTGGTGTATGTTTTGCTGTGTATCTCAACAACAAAATGAATAAAATTTAAAGAAGAAAAAAAACGACTCACAGGGAAAAACAAGTTGGGGCTAAGGGTGAGGAGAAAGTAATACAGGCATACCTCTGAGATAATTTAGAGTTTGGTTCCAAACTACTGCAATAAAGTGAATACCACAATAAAGCAAGTCATATTAGTAGTCTGGTTTCTCAGTGCATACAAAAGTTATGTTTACACTATTCTGTAAGCTTATTAAGTGTGTAATAGCATTATATAAAAAGTTCTAAATATTTGAGAATTTTCATGAAATGAGCACACATACTATTGGAAAAATGGCTCCAATAAACATACCAACCCAGGGTTACCACAACCCTTCAATTTGTGAAAAAAGAAAACAAAAAACACACAGAATCTGCAAAGCACACCAAAATGAGAAATGAAAAACCAAGGTATGCCTTGAATGAAGGATAATCACTAATTTCCAGGCTTGCTCCTACTGCACCTATACACTGCCACCTTCTTGCCTCTCTATGGAAACATCATAAGATGAAAAATCAGACACCTCAAAATTTAGTCTATTCATATCATAAATGGCTAGAATCAATACGGGGAAATAAAAGTCAGTGGATTTTGTTCTGATGAGACTTTTGATTTTAAAAGACGTCTTCAGAGGTAGGATGTGAAGGGGAATACACTACCATGTACCAGGGTCTGGCCTTTCTCAATTACTGAGACAAGTTACACGAGGACTTACATAAAACACAAGCTTCATGTCCAGGATTTAAGGGAGAGCAAGGATGGGGAGAGCCACTACCCTCTGCGAAAAACAGACGACATTCACCCTTCCCATCCTTCACCTGAGAGTTCAACACCATACCACCAGACACATGTGCACATAAAAATATACATATATACCTGCTCGTATTACTACAGAACTACAGAAAGACATACATCCTAGGAAACCCTCATGGTAAACAACAAGATTAATACAAACCTCATTTCTTTAAGTCCTTCTGCCTCTATGACCTGCAGAATCTGTTTTGGTGTCATTGGAGCGTCCGAGTAGTTTTCTAAGACCTGAAGAAATATAAATGTCCTGAATCAGTGTGCAATTTCCATTGATATCTGTCAATGTGATTCATGAGCTACAGTCCTGCTAGGAGGTACAATTTTGTTCTTCCACAGTTAAAATTACTTTCTAAGCCAAATTACACATCTATCCAGTTACTGGAAGTGACCGCACTTACGTGAAATTTTCTAATTCTCAATTCTAAGAGCACACATCTTCTTGGCAAACATGTTATGTACAGATATAATGTATATAGCTAACATATGATATGTGGGGCCTCAGTAGCTAACCCTACTTAGTACTTGACACTGTTAATGTGGCAAAACCATAGAATGCACAGCGCTGCAAAGTAAGACAGAAAGGTTGTTTTGTTTTTTTTGCTGAGGGTTAATGCACTGGACTGCAAGGTCCATTTGAACTGCAAGGTCGGCGGATCAAGCTCACCAACCACTCCTTGGAAACCTTATATAGGGTCATCATGAAAAGGAACTGATTCAACGGCACTTAACAACAGGAGAGCCTAATTAATGCCCATATTTTTAATATAGTACTTTTCCAAAGTGTTGTGAAAAAATTCTAGTGTTTACATTTTGCTATTTGGCAATGTTAAACTGTAATTTCATGTGACTGTTGTTAGCAAAAGCTAAGAAATGGATTGTCCATTTGTTTTAGTATCATCTATATTGTTGGCGTCCTGGTGTGGCGCTGTGGGTTAACGCACCAGAGTGCAAAGCCGTTTGAACTGCAAGGTCGGTAGTTCAAGCTCACCAGCTGCTCAACGGTACTTAAGAACATGTTGTTAAGAAGTTCTGTTAGCATAGTGGTTACTAGTTCAGCTGCTAACCTCTAAGTCAGCAGTTCGAAACTACCAGCTGTTCCGCAGTAGAAAGGTGAGGCTGTTTGCCCCCATAAAGTTATAAAAGCATCAGAAACCCCATACAAGGTGCTATGAGTCAGTACCGCACTCCATACACGGTACATAACCACCATGTTGTTGTTAAGTGCCGTGAAGTCAGTTCCGACTCATAGTGACCCTGAATAGGGTTTCCAAGGAGCAGCTAGTGAGCTTGAACCTCCAAACTTGTGGCTCAAACCAACCATGCAGTCCAGCGCATTAAGCCACAGTGCCACATAAGTATCTATAAATCACAGTAGCATTTTCTTAGTGAATTTAAAGTAGCTCTCTTGTTTTGAAATACTAATCTTTTAAATGGGGGAAAAAGAAAGGCTATCTAATATCTATGTATTTTCTCTAACTAGGCAGCTGCTGTGGTTACTTCAAATCAAACTAACATCTTGCAGTCTTTAACAATATCCAAGCATGCCTCTGTCACAAATAGGATGCAAGGAAGAAGCTCACAGAGTTATCGTTGACAGAAGTCCTATGGAAGAATATAAGCTCTCAGCACTAAAGGAAATCCATGTTCAAAGAAGCAAATGTTAGCTTAAAAACCTGTATTTACCATGGTCCCATCCTGAACTTCTCTTTTCTAAATGTTCACATTCTCTTTAGGTGACATTATAATCTCTCACAGTTTCAACTACTGCCAAAATTTTAATAATTCCCAAATTTCAACCTCTAGCCTTGACTTCTCCCCAAGCTTCAGATACAATGTACACATACCCAGCACACACAGGAATCTAAACACAAGAGCACTGCAAAGTTCGTGGAAAACCATGTTGTTGTTGTTGTTGTTGTTGTTGTT